TTCCAGGAGGACGGTCGAGAACCGAATTGTTCGAGAACCGAAGCAATGAAACCCAACAGGAAAGCGTGACTCCACAAAGCGTGACTCTCTCTCTGCACTCACACTGATGACGCGAGCAAGGCGCGCTGGGCCGAATGAACGCCATTCGGCTCAACTCGGCTCATCTCGGAAGTTCGAGTTCCAAATATTTGTTCGGATTCCGAGACAAAAGTTTCTCGAATCTCCTGGTCGAATACCGATTTGGTCGAAAACCGAGGCGTTCGAGAACCGAGGTATCACTGTAGTAGGTAAAAAAGAATAGAAACAATTCAAATAAATTAGGTGGTGAGTGTCCACCCTGAAAGAAGTTGCACAGAGACCTGCTGCCCTGACTGTGGCTACCTGCGCACTGTCATGCTAACACAGGTGTGTCCACTAACACACACGCGTCCATAGTAGGAGATTCACTACTCGTCACGACAACCCAAAATGCACACAAAATTCATTCCAATCCTTTCCTTCCACTTTCCTACTAGTCCAACAGCAATAGCAAAGGCCAGTAGCGTTTCTTCTAAAGAAAGTCTCAATGTGAATAATTTTTAAAGCTCTTTCCTATGAGTCATTTCACGTGAACCTCATATTCAAGAGAAAGGCAGCAGGGCTGTGCGCTCTGCAGCTGAGAACGCGAACGCCGGACGGCGCGTGCCTGGCTGCGAGTCGCCCAGCTCCCCAGCGATCGTGGGCTCTGCCCCGGTGCCGGCGCCCGTGCGTCCGGCCGGCAGGCTCTGCAGCCACGGAAGCACGCTGTGCACGCTCCCCTGTGCCCTCCCCTGTGTCCTGCTGCTTCCCCAGCACGTCTCCAAATTCCCTGGCGCCTTGAGCCTCCGCCACACGGAGGCTCCCACGCGAGGCCGTCACAGCCTGCAGGGGCCGGGGCTCTCCCAGACCCTGGCACGCGCAGGACTGTGCCCCTGGGGGTTCGTGAGACCAGCAGGCCTCAACGGGCTCAACAGTTATGCATCCTCCTCGGGCAAGGTAAGCATTTCGAGATCCAGCTTCTAACATCATGAAATAACATCGCGAATGACACCACCTTCCAAGGACTAGGGGATAGCCGGGCCCACACACTAGCATTAATCACCCTTCTCTTCTGTTCTATGTCATTCAAAAGGCGAAACGTGACAGGTAAAGGGACCGAGTCCTTCAGTGCACAGTAACCATGAAACTGGGCACCACACAGTGCGGCCAGGGGCCTCCTGCCGGCCCAGGAAGGCAGTGCACAGGGTGCGCCAGGCAGGCCCAGGGTGGCAAACATCCCGAGCTCTGTGCCACAGCGGTAGGCAGGCAGAGGATGTATCAGACACATGGAGAAAATTAGGAAAACAAACTGTAGGCAGAGTAAATTTTAAAATATTTAAAATGCATAATTAGGTTTGAATAAACCTACGTCAGTAATTATTCAATAGAAGACAGACAGTGAGGGTGCACGGAAGGGTCCACTGAATCACCAGTGAGCAGTGCGGACCCTGCGACGTGAGCCGGTCTCAGAGACCCTGGTGGCTGGAGGTGGCTGAGGACAAGGCCTGCTTCGCCAGGACTCACCCACGGAGCACGAGGGTGGACGACACTGGTCTGAGCTCAGGGACTCCGACGGAGGGAGTGGAAAGACGCAGGAGGCCAGGTGCCCAGAGTCAAAGGGCCGGCCAGCTGGCACCGAGGGCAGCCCTGCAGAGGCCCAAGGGCTCGGGCAGGAGGTGGAGGGAACGCAGGCATTGAGCGCGGGTACGATCGTGAATTAGCCCACGGCGGCCACTGGGGTTGAAGAGCGACTACTACTTCAGGAAGGCTTTGGTTAGCAGGGAGTTTCGGGAGAGGGAGCGCAGAGGGGCAGTCGGGCAGGGGGGTGGGGCGGGGGGGGGAAGCACGGCTGCGAGCCCGGCATCTGCGTCAGGAAGCACAGTGCGCCGACGGTCTGGATGAGCTCAGCAACATCTGGGGGTACGTGCTCACAGGGTGAGTCAGCATGGAGTCACCACGGGCTCCTGTCAGAAAGAATTCCCTTCCTTTTTAGGTTGAAGTAACAATTGGTTTATGAAAGGAAGAACCAATGAGAAACTGTCAGGATTTTTCTGGGATTTTTTGGACCTTTTCACAGAACAAATTATTGTACAAACCGTCCTAACGTTTGGTCAGAGCATCCGACCGACAGAGGAGATGGGATGACAGCAACGGGTAAGAACAGGCCGGGACTGGGCGAAGACGGATCCCCGTGGCCTACTCCAGTCGTGCTGCAGAGACTCTCCCAGCTCAGGAAGTCGGCGTCTCTGCCAGGGGACGGCTCAGGGAGAAGGCTGCAGGGCCTCACCCACTGCGAGATCAGCAGATGGGCACGGCCGGAGAGAGCTTGTCCGCCTGAGGGGAAGTGAGACTCGAAGAGAATGGAGGAACTGCTATGTGTCGTGGGAGCAGTACTGAATTAGTTGCCATCAGAGAGCAAGGGATGGGCTCCAGGTAAGAGCCAGGTGCCCGCTCTGTTCTTAGGCGCGGGGGGAGGGGCTGCGGTGGAAGGGCACCACCCAAGGTCACACAGGACGGTCTAGGGAATGAGAGCTGACCATCTCGGGGACAGGAACATCCCAATCTGTGAACAGAACATGATACATTCCTCTGCTATCACACTGTTCAGGTACAATCGATGTATATTTTTAAATGATTAAGTCTTAATACGTAAGAACTAACAAAAATCATATTAATTTAAATAATTAGAAAAGAACTATGACAGCAGACAAATACAATAAATTTGGAGAAATGCTTGTCACCACGTGACGCTTACCTGCCCGAGAAGAGGAGAGTCTGAGCCCTTTGGGAAAGAGGAGCCTTCACCACACTGCAGCCCGGCTGCTCAGAGACACCCGGACACCCCCCGGTCCCGGCGGGCACCGCGCTCTCCGGGGGGGCTGTCCACGGCGGGGAGGCGCTGTCCACGGCTGCAGAGGCACCGCCCCAGGCCCGGCCCTTGGGATCCCGCGAGAACTCTCAGGCAGGACGCGTGGAACCCAAGAGGCTCGGCTCACAGACTGTCGTTACAAGGCCCAAGACTCCCTCTACAAGTTGACCTTTGTCAAGTGTTCCCTAACCGAGTTCACCCAAGCAAATAAACAACCGAAGAGCAGTACTCAGCCACGCAGAGGGATTGCAGTCCACACCCACACGTACCTGTGGGTGTCGCTGGTGACAGTGCTGAGGACTGCTGACAACTCACGCAGAAGACTGTTCCCAAGAGAATTATAACACCATCCAGAGAAGCCCAGGGCACAGACGAGCGTCCCTCACAGGCGCGGGAGAGGGGGGCAATTTCTCCCAGCACCAGGGTGGCAGGAGCAGAGGGGTCCCCTCTGCAGGACTACGAAGTGAACGTTTTTTAGGGTCTACAGGTAGCTGCCTCCTCTTCCTTTGGTGTCTCCTTCATTAAAGCTAGAGACACTTTACTTTAGGGAAACAACCATTTGTCAGGTCTACCTGGAGCCAGGGAGGGCAGACAGCCCGGGCAAGGCGGCACCGGGAGCAGAGGCGCGGAGGTCGGGCCTTGCAACGCCTCTGCGACCGTCCGCGACCGTCCGCGACCGCCAAGGTGCTGCCCAGTCCTGTCCGGAGCACAAGCACCTTCCCCCGAAGGCAATGGGGCCGCGGCAGAGACGCCTCAATCCCACTTCACCCGCACACTTCAACACCGCTGCGGTAAACATGTCACCGAATGCAGACAGCTGACTCGCTCACTTTTTTCCAAAACTAGACCTAGGTACAACACAAAGATCACTAAATCAAACATTCTAGTACTTTTAAAAGTTGATCCTATGAGCATAAACAAAGACACTGCAAATAAGACATCAGCAGCAAACAAACAACAGCCTCATATGCAGACACTGTCAAATGCACAGACTGTCCTAACTCAAACGCGCATCAAGCTCGGTCCTTTCTGGCAGGTGGTGCCCGACAGCATCTCCGCATCTGAACCCAGGGCTGGGCTGTGGGTGGGTCCCCTGACTCAGACACTGTGTCGGTCTCTGCACCGCCCAGGGCCGAGATCCCATCAGCCGGGCGTCAAGGTGCCGTGTGGGAGCCTCAGGGCTCCGCAGCCATCGTCACGCAGAATCTCACAGCGACGCTTCAAACAGAAACGGAAGGATGGGAGGACATGAGAAGTCAGGTGCGAGGAGGTCAGCTTGGCTGTGGTCACGTGCCAGCAGGGAAGAATGAGACGGTAAATGCACTCTGACCCCAGAGCCCCTGCCTAAAGCATCCCTGTACCGATGGGCAAGGCCACACACAGCGTGTCCATCAGGGTCAGGACTTCCTGAAAGAGGAGCCTTTGCTCGCAGCCATCACTCTACAGGTCGCACAGTGAGACTCAAGCCTCGGGGCACGCTGCCTGTTACCCCAGAGGCTGGGCGACAGAAGTGGATTCGCCGCTCTGCTACATCTTGGCCCTTCCAGAGAACCCGATGCGATCCAACAAGGCCAGGACAACTGATGGCCTCCGCCATGACACGGGGGTCAGGGTCCTAACGCCTGGGGAATGAGGCCCCATGTCCCCAGCCACCTGTTCTCCTCTCTCCTCATCACGGGCTCTTCCTTCCCAGGTACTCGCTGGGAACCGAGGGACGAAGGGATCGGGCGTAACACTGTCGATTGCAAGCATTTCTGAATAGAACTTTAAAGTGCTACCAATTCATCAAAACATGAATCACAAATAACTGTAATTCCAATGCCACTGTTTTGAATATCTGCTGTCATTAGCTCTGTCATATTCACTCTTGACAAAACGTAGCTGGAAAGACCGTTTCCTAGTGCAGTGGGGAGAGGCAGGACTGTCCTCGTCTGTAAGTCTCGGACCAGACACTGCCACCGACGCACGGCATCCAAACAAATGACAACAACGGACAAATGGCGCCATCACCACCGCAATGCATGAGACGAAGCTCTCTTATAAACCGTGCACATCACAAGCTCCAGCCCCTCACCTGCGTGCAGGTAGGCCAGGTCGGGGTTCTCGATGTCGGGGTGCTGCTCCTTCAGGTGGTTCCGGAACTCCACGGGGACGTTGGTGCCGTAGTCGCACTTGGGGCAGTTGTACATCTTGACGCCCTCGTGCTTGCCGGTGTGTAAGATGTGCTTGCGGATGTTTTCAGCACAGTTTGACCTGCGGAGGGAGCGAGAGAGAGAAAGGGAGACGGGTTCAGGTCCAGTCGGTACCGCGAGACCACACTAGCGGCCAGCGCTGTCCTCACTGCCGGGCTCAGCCTGACTGGCCCACACACTCATGTTCGGGGCCAGCGTTCTCGGGCCCCGGTGCTCACTGCTGAGCAGGCCCTTCCCCTTCGAGACCCGGTTCTCTGCAAAACAGGAAGTGCACAGCCCGGGCCCTGTGAGCTTAGCACCCGATCGTCCTGGTACCATGTGAGGGCTGAGGCGTCTCCTCCCCCGAGAACACGTCTGCACGCGAGGACCAGCGGAGGGACCACAGGGTCACCTGAACGGGTCTGCAGCTTCGAGGACACTGGGCAGCTTTGGCTTTAAGTCCTGCGGCGTGGACAGCTCCCCGAAAGGCTCGGGAGCAGCTCACAGCGTGAGCAGAGCGGCCGGACACGGCCCCAGCCCCACACGGGACGCCCCGCTACATGCCACTGAGCTTCTTTCTCTACTGGTGGGGCTATGCAAGGGATGGACCAGAAACCACAGCTCCAGGCAGCAGGAGCAGGCTCCTCGCCCACTCCTCTCCAGATTCGGAGGTGCAAAGCCAGACCCGACCAGAGACGGGGGAGCCCTGCCTGCTGCTCCCCTCGCGTCTCTGCTGCTCCGCTACTGAGGTGACGAGGAGTCCCCCACAGATTCAAGCAGGCGAGGGGCCTCCCGTTCCCCACAGAGCAAAATGGACGCCAGGAGACATCCGAGCGACATGTTTAATGCTTCTGAGCAGGTCCTGCGGAGGAGCCAGGTCCGCAGGACCACGACAGAAGGACAGCTGGCCTGAGCGAATGGGGTGAGGACACGGGCTCGCCGCCAGGTCCCCGCAGGCCCGTCACGACACGGAGGCTTTGGAAGGACCTGCTGGGAGCGCCCACCCTCAGCTCTGCCAGGGTGGCTTCTGTGGGTAGCAGTCTGCACCAGGGACACTCGGCGAGGAACGCAAGCAGGGCTGTCACCCAGCACACCACTGCAGCTCCACCATCGCCCACACGCAGATGCCGCGAAGGCCACGAGACCCAGACCCAGGAAACACGCGGCCGATGCACCGAGGACAAGAGGAGTGTGGACAGTATCATCCAGCAAGGCCGAGCTCATGGACACGGCGCTGGGCACAGAGCCCCACAGCAGGCCTCTCTCCTCCTGAGTCTGCCCGCCCCACTGCTCCTTGTTGATGGCCAGGCCGTGATTCACGGTAAGGGTACAGCGTATCCTGTCCTACCGATGCTCACTGATGGGCGTTTAGGTTGTTTCCAATCATTTTGGAGTATAAACAAGGTTGCGATGACTACGCGAGTACAACATTTTCCACTTTTCAGGGTGCCAACAGAATCTCCCCATGCCAAGTGGAACTGCTTCAAGTGTCAACGGGCATATGCTTTTGTAATTTTGATAAATTCTGCCAAATTGCCCTCCAGAGAAGTTGCAGCAATTTACACTTCCACCGACGTTTGAGAACGCCTGTTTCTGCACGGTCCTGCCAATGCGTGTTACCAAACTTTCGAATCTGTGCCAGCATGGTGGGTGAAAATGATAGCTCGCCGGAGTTCCGATTTTTAACTCCTAAAAGTTTCGATCTGCATTTCTCTGAAATAAACTAATCTAATACAGAAATGCCGTAAGTATTTTCTACATACTGACCATATTCGTATCTTTTCCAACAGGGTCATTAGTCAAACTCTTACACATTAAGAAAATGGACTCTGTCTATGACAAAATTACAGACTTTTTTCCTTAGTTTCATTCTGTCTTTTGACTTTGCTTATGGTATCTTCTGAAAAGCAGTTTCCATTTCGTCATCTTTTGCTGTGGCTTCTGTTTCTGTAGGTTGTAAATAACGCCCAGAGCTGGGTCTAGCACTGGTACAGCGGCAGCATGTTCCCTCAACATTAGATCCCCTCCCAATTCCCCTAGCGCATGGGATCAAGTGTGATCCAGAGTGTCGGCCAGATCTCTCACCACCAGTCCTTAATGGCGCATCTGTGCCCACTGATGTGAAATGACACCTTATGGATTTTTTAAAATCCTCACTCACCCAAAGACATGCTTTTATTTTTTATTTTTTTGAGAGAGAGAAAAATATCGATGTGAGAGAGAACCATCAGTTGCACATGCCCTGACCAGGAATCGAACCCAAAACCTTTTGGTGTATGGGACGATGCTCCAACCAACTGAGACATCCAGCCAGGGCTCTGGACTTTCTTTCAGTGTCCCGTGGAGACACTGCAGCCACTTTTCAGACCACTGCAACAGAGCCAGGATCACAGGAAAGCAAGCCACACTCTGCGGTTCCCCAGTGCGTACAGACGTTACCTTCCCACTATCCCGTAGCCTACTACGTGTGCAACAGCGTTACCTCTAGTCAACCGATGCACATGCCTTCAATAAAAAATGCTTCATTGCTAAAATACGCTGCCCATCCTGTGAGCCTTCAGTGAGCTGTGATCACTTTGCTGGGGGTGGGGGGGTCTACCTTCAGCTCCTACACGGCGCAGTGCTGTGAGTGAACAGGCAGGGGTGCCCGGCAGCAGCGGGTCTGTGATGCAGGTGCTGGGCTGTCTGCGCCACTCCGCCATGACCCGGGGTGCAGGAGCGGCACCTCTGGCCCACTGCACACTGCGCTGTTCTCTCCCCAGATCACACGTTTTGCTCAAGCCATCGGGTCACCAGCCGTCATCTCTGGTTCTGAGCTGGCGTGGCAAACATCTTGAGTGGACTACAGAACTAGAGAGACCTGAGCCAATGACAAATTACTATCACTAAGACAGTACTTATTAGTATGTACCAATTTGGTGTATTGTGTATAAATTGACATAAAAAATTCTGAAAGTTCTAAAGAAATATGTTCATTTTAACAGTTTGTGTCCCTAACTTTGTGACCACAGAGCGCTGTTTTTGTTATTTATAGAATAACACACGTATCTCGTAAAGCTTCATGAGGGTTAAGGTGAATGATACTATGTCCAGAACAGACGGTAGCCACTGGTTTATTACTACTACCACTAGTCTTTCCAAATGCAAACAGTTCAAGTATCTGGATCGTTACTGGCAATTTTCTTACTGTACATAAAAAGGAATTTCAATTCATTTGAATAAGAACAGGTTCCCGAAAGCTATATGGTATATATAAGCGTACATGTTTGGAAATGCAGTATTTTTCCTGCCTGCTCAAACTACCCTATTTGAACTTCCACTCTTCACAACACTCTCTGCAGGGAAGTTCAGGGCACAGTGCGTCAGCTCTGCTCGCCACGGCCACGGGCACCTAGACGTGCACTCTCACAACACTCTCTGCAGGGAAGTTCAGGGCACAGTGCGTCAGCTCTGCTCGCCACGGCCACGGGCACCTAGACGTGCACTCTCACAACACTCTCTGCAGGGAAGATCAGGGCACAGTGCGTCAGCTCTGCTCGCCACGGCCACGGGCACCTAGACGTGCACTCTCACAACACTCTCTGCAGGGAAGTTCAGGGCACAGTGCGTCAGCTCTGCTCACCACGCCCACGGGTACCTAGACGTGCACTCTCACAACACTCTCTGCAGGGAAGATCAGGGCACAGTGCGTCAGCTCTGCTCACCACGCCCACGGGCACCTAGACGTGCACTCTCACAACACTCTCTGCAGGGAAGATCAGGGCACAGTGCGTCAGCTCTGCTCGCCACAGCCACGGGCACCTAGACGTGCACTCTCACAACACTCTCTGCAGGGAAGATCAGGGCACAGTGCGTCAGCTCTGCTCGCCACGGCCCACGGGCACCTAGACGTGCACTCTCACAACACTCTCTACAGGGAAGTTCAGGGCACAGTGCGTCAGCTCTGCTCGCCACGGCCACGAGCACCTAGACGTGCACTCTCACAACACTCTCTGCAGGGAAGTTCAGGGCACAGTGCGTCAGCTCTGCTCACCACGCCCACGGGTACCTAGACGTGCACTCTCACAACACTCTCTGCAGGGAAGATCAGGGCACAGTGCGTCAGCTCTGCTCGCCACGGCCCACGGGCACCTAGACGTGCACTCTCACAACACTCTCTACAGGGAAGTTCAGGGCACAGTGCGTCAGCTCTGCTCGCCACGGCCCACGGGCACCTAGACGTGCACTCTCACAACACTCTCTACAGGGAAGTTCAGGGCACAGTGCGTCAGCTCTGCTCACCACGGCCCACGGGCACCTAGACGTGCACTCTCACAACACTCTCTGCAGGGAAGATCAGGGCATAGTGCATCAGCTCTGCTCACCACGCCCACGAGCACCTAGACGTGCACTGGAGGGGCTGCTGCCACGTCTCCCATCAGGAAGCCGAGCTGTGGAAGTAATAATCCAAAGACAGGATTTATGTAAATTAAACTTAAGACGTTACCACATTTTTCTAACCAGCAGTATTTAAGACACATTCCCTGGTCCTAAACCAGTCTAGGAGCCTGGAGGCTGGGAGAGACACAGCGGCCCTCGCTGCGGCTGGAAGAAAAGTCCCCAGTGTCCACGCTCGGGCCTCGCCCGCCCCCTCAGGCAGCACCACCTCCACCGCCTCTGCTCTCACTGAAGGGGACGCGAGGAACGAACGGATTACCTCAGATTACAGACCATCTGTGCTATTTAAATTTAAAACTAAACAGAAGCAACAAGAATAAAGAACTTCATACTCCCCTGCTAAAACAGGACATTCTGTCGGCAAATAGATGGCTGTCCCTGGAACACTGACCAAGCGCCTCACCAGAAGAGGGCCGGACCCATGCGTGTCAGGGACGAGGAGGTCACTTCAGGTCGACGCGGAATGACAGTTTACATAACAAATGGTGTTGGGTCCACTGCCTACCACCTGGGGAAATAAGCTAGAGTCTCGCGGTCCTATCCCATGCAAGAATAAACATCACTGGATTTTAAGATTAACATAAGGACACTAAATTATAAAAGCACTAGGAGAAAATATTTCTAGAATCTTGGTTGGAAAGAGCT